AAGGTATATAAAAGGACCAAATATATTGATAGATACAGGAGTCGGTGAATGTCATATGGCTGCAAATAAAAATGAAGGATTAATGACTTACAAGATAGAATCATATGAATATGGGAATTTTGATGGACAACTATATATCACAGAATTAAAGGTAAATGTACCAATAAAAATAGGTGGGATTGATCTTTTAGTACCATATTATTTGGATGAAAGTATGGATATTGAACCTCATATATTATTAGGAATGAGTTTCTTAAATGGATTAAAAAATTATAGTATAAAAAGAGAAGGATTATATATAACTCATAAAGGACAAACTAAATTATGTAGAATAGAAAATGGATGAATAATCAAATTAGTTTTCCATTCGCAGTATATATACAAGTTACTATAGTTGAAACGAATATAACAACTTGTGCTTTAATTGATACAGGAAGTGATATAACAATTTTTAAAAATTTCTTAATAAAATCATGGAATAAAAATAGTAAAATAAAGATAACAGGAGTGACTGAAAAAAGTACTCAAATAATTGATAGTGCTGAAAAAGTTAATATAATACTTGGTAGTAGACAAGTTATAATAAATAAAGTATATAATTATAATAAGTTAGAATGTGATATATTATTAGGAAATGATTTTATCCAACAATTTCAATATTACAAACAAAATAATTATATGATAATGTTACAAACACCTTGTGCACATCTATTAAAAATACCCAGAGAATTTAGACCCTACAGAGTTCAGCCAGCCCAGCGTGGTGATAAATGGGAAAAACGACCAATAGTGCAAGATGAACTAAAAAATAAAAAACTATCATATAAAAAGATCCTAAAATCAGAAATAGAGATAACTATGGGAAAAATTATAGAACAATTAGAAAAAATTTATGGAGAAAATCCATTATTATTTTGGAAACTGTATCATCCTAGAGCTAAAATAGAATTAACAGAAAATATTATAATAAGAGTTAGATCAATGATGTATACCTTACAGGATATGCAAGAATTTAAAATTCAAATAAAAGAACTATTAGAATAAAAGTTAATTAGATCCAGTAATGGACCTCATAGTAGTCCAGCTTTTATGGTCATGAAACATTCTAAGCAGGTTAGAGGAAAAGTTAGAATGGTAATAAACTATAAAGAATTAAATAAATATACTAAATTTGATGGTTACTTTTTACCAAATAAAGAAGTCTTAATAAACCTTGCAAAAGGAAAACAATATTATTCCAAATTTGATTATAAATCAGGATTTTGGCAAATAAAAATGGAAGAGATAGTATACAATATATAGCTTTTAGTACACCTCAAGGAAAATATGAATGGTTAGTTATGACATTTGGTTTAAAAAATGCACCACAAATATTTCAAAAAAAAAAAAGGATAATATATTCAAAAAGTATATTGATTTTCTTATTGTTTATATTGATGATATACTAATATGCTCTAATAATAAAAAAGAGTATATGAATCATTTATTACAATTCATAAATGAATGCAAAAAGAAAGGGATTGTACTTTCTAAAAAGAAATCTATAATAAAGAAACAAGAAATAGATTTTCTAGGATTATTAATAGATAGAAAAGGAATAAAATTACAAACTCATATATCTAAAAAGATAGAAATCTTTCCAAATGAATTAAAATCCAAAGAACAAATACAAAATCTTTTAGAATGTTTAAACTATGCTGAAGGATTTATTGAAAATCTCTCAAAAAAGAAACATAAGATACAAATTCTACTTAGAAAAACAAATACTAAAGGTTGGAATAAAGAACATACTAAAATTGTTAAATCATTAAAAGAATGTAAAAATTTACCAAAATTAAGATTACCTGATGAAAAAGATAATCTAATTGTCAATACTGATACTTCGGATAAATATTGAGCAGCTATATTAAAAACAGATTTAAATGAAATATGCAGATATTCAAGTGGAACTTTTAACCAAGCAGAAATAAATTATACTACTCATGAAAAAGAATTATTAGCAATTATTAGAGGAATGAAAAAGTTTTCATTATTCCTTTTATCTAAAAAATTTGTTGTTGAAACTGATAATTCTCAAGTTGCAGGATTTATTAGAAATAAGTTACCTATGGAACCTCAATATAGAAGGTTACACAGATGACAAGCATATTTATCATTCTACAATTTTGATATTGTTCATATTAAAGGAATAAATAATTATCTTGCAGATTTTTTGAGCAGGAATATCGAATTCGGAGATGGATAATATCAAAAATTCATTAATAGACGTCAACAGACGAATGAAATTCCTCATGGAGGAATCTGAAGATATGAAAATTGGAATTGAGCAGTTAGAGGAAATGACAGAATCTATCAAACAAAATGTCAAATTGTTGGTGGAAATCTCTAATTCTCATTCCAAATATACCAAAGAATTGAATGACAGAATTGTTGATATTACTTCACAATTCGAGTCATTAGATACCAAAACAGGAAATACCAATTGATAAAATCTCAAAAATACAAACAGGTACACAGTCAGGAAACAGCAGTAGACCCAGCAATATCAAACGAGACATAGCAAGTCCCCGGAAGGTGATTATAAAAAATGGTGATGAACATACAAGAGTTATAAGAATCAAAACTGATGAAGATGATAATACTCCTTTATCATCAAAAGAAGAAAAATATAGATCATTTGCCAAAATTGTTTATGAATTGGAAGAAAGTGAATCATATTTTATTGCATTAGGAGATTATGTTTATCCCAGATTAATAATTACCAACGATGCAGACCCTGTTATGGTCAAAATGGCAGCAGATTATGGATTTCTGGATTTGATCTATTCAGGAAAAGATTTAAAAGAAATTGAAAAATTTGATGATATATTCAGGGCAGAAGTTTCAAAATTTGCCCAAGGGAGGTCGATTTATATCAAATTTTATTCAATAAGTCCCGAAGTTGATGGAAGAATATATTATCCTGCTGAACATATTATCACAATTGGATATGTTGGCCGAGATTTTCAGATTGAAATTAGCCGAAATAATAAACCATTATCTAAAATCAATAAATTATGGATAAAATCCCGGAGAGTTTTGAGGATGAAAGTTCTTTACAACATTGCAAAAGACTTATATGATAAAAAATTCAGATTCTTGTGCCAATATGAAGGATGGACACTCCTTACAAATAATGGAAAAGAAAAATCTACCATTTTGAAAGAATATATCCAAAAATTTGATACTCATCAAATTAATGGAAGTTCAACAACAATCCAAGAATCATGCAGATTGAGGGAGTGCCCCACATGTAGACAAAATTGAAAGATTGATGGATAGAAAAGAACCTACCACTACCAAAGCATCTAGCCAGCTGCATATGAAGCCAAAGATGGAAAAGCAATAATAGAAAAGTATCTAGCCAGCTGCATATGAAACCAAAGATGAAAAGGTAATAATAGAAGAAAAGATGCATCTTTGATGAAAAAGCAAAAAAATAAAAATAAAATGCATGTGAAAATGTAGACCCTAGGAGGAAAAGAATAGAGAGGCATGTGATCCTTTTTTCAAAATTCTGATGTATGCAATGATGTAATAGATCAATAATAGTGAGTTTGAGTCATGTATAAATAGAGGTGTTTGGAGAAAGAATGGATCATCTCGAGTTAGAAACCATTCTCTTTCCTTAAACTTTCAAAACCAGTTTTTCTGGAAACCCCTTGTATACAATAGAAATCTTGTATAAATCATTATAGAAATAAAATTTCAATCTTTTGATATCAGAAAGATATGAGTTTCTAAACTTCCTATCCCATAGATTCTTGATAGATTGAAAAAGATAATTTCTTTCTTACTTTAACAAAGAGAGAATTTTCTTTACTTAAGATCTTTATTCTTAATTCTAAGAAAAGGTACAGTAAGGGCAAGAAGTTGAAATAGCAGAATTCCCATTGAGGCAAGAGGCCGTTTGAGAGAGCAGTTTGCAGATTCAGAGTTTGAAGGTCACTCGATTCTAAGAATACAGATTTAAGATCAAAAGTAAGGTAAAATTATTGTCTTTGTTAAATTTAGAAAGAATTCGTCTAATATCTTGAAAGAATTGTAGGGATTATTACTTTTCATATTTGCAAAAAACTTATCTAACATATTATTCATAAAGCTTGTAAGGAATTATCTGAATAATGTCAGGTTATACAATTAAAGGATTAGGTAATCTATTAGAAAAATTATTAGGAAAAATAAGAAATATTTTTGCTCGACTAGAGACTATGGATATTTCATCTAAAGAATATGATAATCTTAGTAAATTACATGACAATTATATTACAGACTATGCTAATTTATTAGATCAAAGGATGGAACTACATATTAAAACTCGAAATAAAAGAAATAGAGGAATTTTAGAACAATTCTAATAAATTAAGGATATTTTGTTCAAAATATGACAAATACTTTCATCAAAGATATTATAGACATTCTATCAAAAATAAATAGTGACAGATCATTTACAAAAATCTCCCCATATTAACACCGAAAGTAAAGCCTACAGCCTCTAATTCGTGGAGGACAATTTGGGTAATGTGAAAAGTCGGTTTATAAACCCTCTTCTACATTTCAATCGAATTTCCGTGGATTCATTTCCTGTTACGAAAATCTGTTTCGTGTGTGTTCTTCCCCCATACCTTCACAAATGTCGTTCACGAAAGTGGTGATTGAACGAGACACGGACTCTGAAGAAGAGAGTTCATCTGGAGATGAAAATGATCAAGTCGATGATTACCCATCCGAAGAAGAAGATGATGACGATCAGGTATTAGAAAATGAGGCTTCCACTACGACGTCGAGGAAAACAAAGACGAAACCCATCACTATTTCTCTCAAGAAAGTCTGCAAAGTAAAGTCCAAATTCCTTACAACTCCATATTCTAAATGCACTTCAATTTTCAGCATTTTTAGACCGGGTTTGAATCCCTGTATAGTTTCGACCTGTTGACAGTTTGAAAAAATATGAAATTTATCGGGCTGCATTAGACTATTGAATTGCCATTATTGTGTGCAGGTATGCAAGAGATCGGGTCATGAAGCAGGGTTTAAAGGGGCCACGTATATTGATTGTCCAATGAAGCCCTGTTTCCTCTGCAAAATGCCTGGTAAATATCTTTTAGCACAATGTACTTCCAATCTCATCTTTTGTTTTCAGATAATACTATTAATAGTTCATTACTATTGTATTTTGAGATTCATGTTAACTCCTCTATTTTTGGTATCAAAGGCCACACTACAATCAGTTGTCCTCATAGAGCGACTACAGAATATGGCATCATCCCAGCACCCCGCAAAGGAACTCATAATTCACTTGAATATGTTTTTGCTCGTCAGCTTAGGCCTCACATTCCTGACCCCCCCCCCCCCCCCCCCCCCCACCCCCGGGGGGTGTTTTTACAACATTACTGTATTCCTTTCTCTGAATTTGTTATAAATGTCCCATTGTTTCACAGGCTTAGTGATTCCCCCTAATTCTGGTGACTTTATCACATTTTATTTTAGTTTGATCAGAGAGCTGCATAATTACCATGTTAGTCCCAAGGGCAGGATTAATTTTGGTATTTTCCAAAAATTGTTCCATTAAGCATATTTCTAGCAGGTAATTTTTGAACTTTAGGTTCTTTAGTGAAATAAAAGTTACTGCATAATAGAACAGATGTCCAGTGAATAGGGAAACAAAAAATTAAGCGAGGAGAGGCCAGAGGGAACACTAGATTATAATGGTTTCACTCAAAGTAGTCCACTCCCTGAAGATTCATTTTTTGTATTTCCACTCTCAGTAGCAAGTAGTTCTTTTTCAGTCATTCAGATACCAATGTTACAACAGATACACTTCCCTTTTCCTTTATGATGCAGCATGAAGTGGAAAAGATTCAATGCTTTCAAAGATCCATTCATTCTATGAAACTGGATGTTTGGGCGTTGACATATTCGCAGATTCTTCGTAAATAACATTGAAAATTCCACACAATTATGAGAGAACTCTCAATTTTATTAATAATCAAATTCAACTGAATATGATGACAATCTATAGTGTTTAAATATAATTCTAAGACAACAACACTCTTAAGACTTAACTAAAGACAAAAACAGACTTAATTATAGATCACGATACATAAATGAAACATCAAATTAACGGAAAATAATATTGGATTTTGTTGGGGGATTTTCCCACTCTTTTCCAGTCGAAGAAGATTTGTCCTCAAATCTTGTGTCGTGTTGTCCTCCATGTCTGGTAACTACGACAATCCATCATCCAATATTACCTTAGTTGAATTACCGTTACTTGCTGAATCTGACACGATTCAATCACGCTTTGATAAAGCATAATGGGTACCAAAACAACTCTGGAATGCTCAATTAGCATTCTCTTCATAAATCGACTGAAAAATAATTTAAGTTGCCAACCATATTAGCTTTGTGAGAGTTTCCTATACCACATCATTAAATTCAATTTTATGTCCTCAAGGATAGTATGATTAAAATGATAGACAAACCAAATTCTTGAGAATTCATACACAAATGCAGAGCTGTACAAAAATCATCTTTAACTTTCACTAAAGGGTTTTTTGAAAATGTCAAATTCTCAAGTGGGTTCAGTCCCCATATAAAAACTCACGATTGAAGGAGACATCCATACCAACGCAAAAATTCACATTCATGCCCTCTTTTCCAAAATTCTCTTCTATTTCATCTTCACCTCTTATGTGTTCTACATAATTCTACATCATCCATGTTGTCATGCTCGGTCAACAGTTGTCTAATTCAGCGCCGACACTAGGAGCCATCAGCAGTCCTCCGGTTAGTTGTAAATGGATTATCGTCCCTTTCCCTTGCTATAGACTCCATGTATCTAGCTGTTGAACTGTCTTGGTTTAACGGCACCAAAGTATCCAAAAGCTGTGTCAACAGGTCAGTCTGCTGACACTATTGTATACAGAGATAAAATGGTTAACTCTTCACTTGGTCATTTAAATACTTATTGCACTTTTTTCCTTCGAAAACTTCACCCTTAGGGACACTCCCATCAGCTCTTCTTAACCCCCATATATAGACAAATAACGAAATATCTACTGTTTGATACAGTATTTCAGAATTGAAAAGGGTTTAAATTGTGTGTTTTGATTCTGAAACAGTCTCAAAAAACTTTTACGGATGAAAGTTTCTGCTTAACATACTCCCATGTACTAGAATAAGACCATTAGTGTGAGGGTTTTGGAGAAGATAACAGAGCTTTGAGCAATGTGAAACAATCCAAAAGAGTAAAAGAAATGTCTTCTGAAAAGATGTATAGGTACAGAGACATCGAAAACTGTATCATTCTTTAAGAAATTACGTGAATGGTTAAGAAGGTTGTAATATATATTATAATCAGAAGAATAGTTGTCTGAGAGATTGTTTAAAATAGGAAAGTACTTGTAAGATTACTTTGACTTGAAAGAGGGAAGTGACTTTTCTAACCCTTGCAAGTCAGTTGAGTTATGACAGGTCAGCCACTGGCTTGTCGTTCATTCTGCATAAATATTGGCTTTGTATATCCATGGACATGGGTCATCCACTGAGGTCTTTCTCTCTAGTCATTCATCCATCCCCCCAAATCATCCAGCCTGGCTCTTCTGACAGTAGGTCTTGCACTCTGGCTCTTATGCTTGAGTAGGTGTTCCACTTGCATAGATCATCTGTTTGGTTCATCCACTTGAGTAGGTCATCCCTTTTACAAAATTCCAGAGATTAAACAGTTAACACATCTTTCGAACTACAGTATTGCCAGTGGTCACCTCTTTTTCAAAATCATAGCGATATCACTGATCATCTACTTTTTCAAAACTATAGCAATGCCACTACATCCCCCCCCCCCCCCCCCCCCCCCCCCCCTCTCCTTTTTCTCAAAATTACATTTATGTTATTCACCAATCTCTATGGCTGATCATCTGTTTTGCAACACCTATTACAAGGAATTTACAATGCAACTTTCAATTTGATTGTTATTGTCAAAATTAGGTTATTTTTAGCATCGTAAAAATTCTCAGGCACCCCACTCATAGGACTCGACTTACTGGCTACTTTTAGGTTTTATGCACTTTTGTTTCTATGTATATTCATCGACAAACAATAATGTTCAATAGAGAGCCACTCAATTTCTCTGTGGCTAAAATTAATGTTTTGAAATTGGTGTATTCTGATTAGATAAACTACTGTGTTTCAGATGAAAAAGATTAGGAGTTATTTCAATATATTTGGGTCAAATACAACTTTTAAAGTTTTTGCCCTTGTGAAATATTCAGTGATATGTACTGGAACTAATCATGTTTTGGTCTCCTCTCTTATATTAGAGTTTTTTACTCAACTCTTGGTGAAAATATTAGTGTTACCTAACATGTTGTTTTGCATGGTTCCTGAAACAGATTAAGCCCACAGTTGTGATCCCAGATCAAGTAAACTGTGCAGTTATTAGATACCACAGTAGGCGAGTTACTTGCTTGGAGTTCCATCCAACAAATAATAGTCTTCTTTTATCTGGAGACAAGGTTTGCCTTGGTTCACTATCTTCTTTAGCTGTCAGTTTTCTTCTCTGAGGATTATATCATTTTGTAATCGTTGACTTTCAATCCTGCACTGTAATAAAGAAAGGGCAGCTTGGAGTTTGGGATTTCAAGAGAGTACATGAGAAGACAGTATATGGGAACATACATGGTTGCATACTTAACAACTTGAAGTGAGTTTTGCTTCTGTGTGGTTTCACGTACCAAAATAGATGTGTGCTGCTTTGGTAATGCCTTTTTGTGCATAACTTGCTTTATCATGTATAGGTTTAATCCGACAAATGATGGAACAGTTTATGGCGCTTCTTCAGATGGAACTATCAGCTGCACTGATTTGGAGACTGGAATGTCAATGGGATTGATAAATCTTAATCCCAATGGGTGGCAGGTACTTCTTTATTTTACATGAAGAAGGCAACTATCTACTTTGTGGCGCCAATGTATAGGTACATTAAAAGTTCATTTGTTCGTGTTGTTTTTGAACCAGCCTGAACATTACTCTGTCAGGGCTGTCAAGCTCCTTATATTTGCGACACATCTCAATACAATGGATCATTACTATTAGTTCTCTTTTCCAGTAATTTCGCTCTCTTTCTCTTTATCTATTTGACTCCCTGCAAAATTTGATCAAGATGGTGATAAATTGATTTCATGTTAGATCAACTGGCTGATTTTTTATGCCATAATTAGATGCTTACAAGCTATAATTAAATTTGTGAAAATTGAGATGGTCCTCTGTGGAATCTATCATAACCTTCAAATCTTTAATTTTAATGAGATTTACTCTTTGTTATGTGAATATAAAACATCTTTTGAACGAGCATTACCATCTTCTCTTCCATAATATATTTGAAGGTACATACAATTTCATGGTAAGTATCCATGGCAAGGTACAGTTGGTATTCTGAATATAGCCCCCGTTTGGCCTCCATTTTGTAGAAATGGAAATGGATGGAATAGTGTTTTTTTGAAAAATGATTGGTTGAAAAAGAAGGAAAGATTTTCGATTTACGTGTAGTACTATTTTATGGAAGATTGTATGGTTGAAAATAGGAGAGAGAAAAATGGAATGTAATATAATAAAAATTAATGGGGGCCAAACGGGGGCATAATTTTTTCTAAAATGACATTTTAATTCTATATTTTAGTTCTATATTTTAGTTCTACATAAGTATTGAAATTTCTTGATCTGAGCCACAGTTTTTTTAGACAACTTCAGATTTTGATTTTTTTTTTTGTACTTTTAACCACTGGAAAACCTCCTCTCAACACACAAAAAAGGAAAAATAATATTACATCTTCTCAGCACAAAATAGAACTAATTGTAGCTGTGGTAGAAGCAGTAAAAGAAAACACCTGAACAATTTCCACAAGAGCAGGGGACTGTCAGAAAGGCATTTGCACGAGTTAGTTAATTTCCAATTCTTTATTGTTCCCTTTTCCTTTTGTGAGGGATGGGGGGTTTTGCTTGGTTCTTCCATTCAGATATGCTTATTATAGATGAAAAATTTTATTCTGTGGAGTGATAATGTACATTCACTAACAAGTATGAGTTCCTTAACGGTTTTCATACAGGGCCCAAGCAGTTGGAGGATGCTCTATGGATTGGATATAAACTCTCAGAGAGGAAATTTAATTGCTGCGGATAATTTTGGATCTCTCTATATGTAAAATATAAGCTCTATACTTTAGTTAGTGTATACTCATGTTTTAGGGAGGGGGTCAAAAACACTGGTGGTCAATAAACTTTTTGGCAAAATTTCATGTTGGTTATTGACTTTTTTGGTATTAAGTTGATCACTTAGCTTTCTCGAGAGTTGCAACCATGTTGCTGAACAAAAATTGTTTGTTACAATTGAGTTACTCTATCTGTTAATGTTAATTGTACTAATGGAAAAACTGACGTGACTGTTTTTTTTGCAAATAACTAGAGTGCCACACAAGCTTTCTGTTGGTCAAACCAACATACATGATGGAGTTACCCAATTGTAACAAAGTTGAAGATCATGATCAACTTGGAAAAAAGTGAAAATCAACATAAATTTTTTGCTAAAAATTTTAGTGAGCAGTAGTGTTTGTAACCCTTTAGGGATGGATAATAAGAATACATTGGTTATTTAGCTAATTTGATCCTTTGTTTCCCCTAATGTCTAATTTTGGTGATTATTGTGGAATCTGATGGATTAATTATTGTAATCAGGGAGCTAAATAGTAACATTGTAGGACAGTTGTGTGAGGTCTTCTTCTGCTTTCGCATTTTGGTTAAATTATTTTAAGCTTGCTATTTAATTGTGTGGTCTGGTGTTGAATGTTTGAGTTAAATAGAACCATAAATGAATTTGTTGACAACTTGACTTTAAACATGAACAGAAAGAAACTATGAGAAGTGCAAATTTTTTTTTTCCTTTCTTGAACTAGAGCTTAGGTTTGTTATATGATACATTTGATGTGGGTTTTATGTAGTCACTTTATGAATATGCATGCCAACTTATCCAACAATAGTTTGCGCTAAATTGGATATTTTTTTACTTTTATTAATGTGTAGGGTGGATATGCGCTCCAACACCACAACGGGGGACTCCGTTTTGATTCACAAGAAAGGAAGCAAAGTTACTTGTCTACACTGCCATCCTCATCAACCAGATATTCTATTGAGTTGTGGAAATGATCACTTTGTAAGCTTCTATTTTTATCCTTATTAGTTTATTTTAGTGATCTTTTTTTTTTTTTTTTTTATGAAGTTAGTCAAGTAATTATTGCTCTTCCATTGCCTCTGTTAATATCAAGAAAATTGTGCTGGTTGGAGAATGTTTCACTAATTTGTTTATTGCTTGAAAATGTTAGTTTTCTTTGTTCCTTATGATGCCATACACCTCTGCTGCAGGCTCGTATTTGGGATATGCGTAAGTTAGAAGCGGGGTCCTCAATTTATGATCTTTCACACAATCGTGTCGTCAACTCAGCATATTTTTCTCCACAAAGCGGCAGCAAAATACTTACTACTTCACAGGACAATCGCCTTCGTGTATGGGATTCTATCTTTGGCAATTTGGATTCCCCAAGCCGAGAAATTGTGCACAGTCATGATTTTAATAGACATTTGACACCTTTTAGAGCGGAATGGGATCCAAAGGTGAACAATGCTTTATTAATAGCTTGAAAAGGTGCTATATAATTTGTGTAAAATGAATTGTATGTTGTATGCATTCAATATGTAATGGAATATGTACTTCTATGCAGGACCCATCTGAGTGCCTCATTGTTGTTGGGCGTTATATAAGTGAAAATTATAATGGAGCAGCATTGCATCCAATTGATTTTATAGACATCAGTACAGGTCAGTTGGTTGCTGCGGTAATGGATCCAAACATCACGACTATCAGTCCTGTGAACAAGCTACATCCCCGTGATGATGTTTTGGCATCTGGTAGTTCAAGGTTTGTATGTGGGGAGCAGTCAATTTATTTTCCATAATGATATAGCGTTTCTTTGATTCTTTGTTTTTGACATCATATGGGACTTGTAGCACTTTTATTTTGCTTGCAAATTGTAAAAGAATGTTATATATTGGTTTCGACTAGTTGGAGTTTAGGATTTAATATGATGGGAATGTGGGTTTATCTTTATATGATTGTTGGGAGGCTACCTTATGGTTATTCTTCTGCTCTTCTAATGTCAAATACTTGTGCAGAATTTTTCTCTTCTTCCTTCTAGTAAGTGGTGTCTTTTACTTTATTTCCCAATTAAAGCCTCTATTGTTCCTAGCAACTTTATTAGGACATGTTATTGAATTTTGATTGTCTTTTTTTCTACTCCGTTTTTACCTTGTTATTAACTTACTCAACAAAATTGCTCACCCTTTAATTTCAAAGTAATTTTGAGAATTGATTTTTTGATCGTTAGGAAAAAAGTGGGGTTCACCTGTAAAAGAAAAAGTCAAATATTATTGTTGGGATAGTGAAATATCGATTAAAAAATCAATTTTTTGTGGAAAAAATCACTCTCAAACAGGCTGTTAATTTCTCAGTCGGTCCTTTAGTTAAAAGGTCAAGTGATCTTTGTAGCTAACATTGTTACTTCTCCACCTGGTAAATAGCTTTTTCTATGAATGTTGTCTGCGCATTCCTCGCGTTTTGTCCAAAGGTTATTCTTCATTGAATGAGGAGAGAAGTCTTATCTTTTGTATCTGTGCATCTAACATTAAAACTAATGGGGCTAACTGGTTACAGTTTTGTATTGCTAGGACTCACTCTAGCTCGCTTTGGAGTCTTTTGCTTGGTCGATGCTGTCGAGATAGTAGGGAATTCAGTGACAACTTTTTGACATGGCTTAAGCTAACTTCAATTATTTACCACTTTTCAAACGTAAGCAAAAGCAAAAATTTGGAAGTTTACTGAATATGCCAAAACAACGTTAGACTGAGATTTTTAACCCATGTTTGATTAGTAGCTTCAATAAAAGTTCACTATACATAAACACACACAGCTAACTTAGAGAGCACCACAAAATCGCACTTGTGCCTTGTCCCTTGAGTTGAGCCCATCAATTAAACATGCACGGCAAGTTCTAAGTATATAAAACAGTAATTCCAATAAAAGCAATTGTAATACATAGGTATCAATATATAGTCCTAAGGGATGAGTTTATCTTGTCTCATCACATCAATCCAATACATAATTGAATCCAATGTTCGGTACTTATTTGTAAACCCGAGACAATCTGCCTTTTCTCGACTCCCCAACATTTTGACTGGGCATCGGAACAAATTGTCCAGGAATTCCCAATTAGCCAAATCCTCCATTTCTGTTTCAACCAAGCCCTCTTTCATCACTATCTCTTTCCATATTCCTCCCTTGTCACTCATGGCCAATGAGTACGTAAAATCTGGACTGAACGACTGTCTATTCACCCCCAACTTTATGCCGATAGCTCCCCAAATTTCCTTCCATGTATAGCAATCACCATTTACTGCGTTGAACGGTTCACCAATATTTTGGCTAGCTGCCCATATGTGCTGCTCAGCAACTAGCCGAGCATCTGAAGCATCAATGTACATTTCTTCCCAACATTCCATATTCCCTCCAAACACGAAAGGGATATTCAGAAGATTACAGATTGTTCCGTAAACACACAAACTACCAATGAAATTGAATAAAGTTCTTTGAGAACAACCCATCAGCAATCCAGGGCGATGAACAGACCATGCCACTTTACCTGCACCTAATCTTTCTTTTAGCAAGTCCTCGAGCACGTAATAAAAGTTATATCCTGTACTCACCCTTGGGCACTCCTCGTCATAATAACAAACATTCTCATCCTTGGAAGAAAACAAATCTCCTTGCTGCAATGAGACGTAATGTTTAGCCCCCGTCTGCAGAGAGACATGTCTCAATGCCTTGGCTCTTCCCAGCATTGCATCTAATGCATTGCACATCATCAACTTATTCTGCTGGCAGCACTCTCGGGTGTCCAAAGGGAATTGGCTAGCCCAAGTCACCCAAAATAAATGAGTGACATCTTGTAATGAAGATAGCTTTTCTTGTGTTTCAATATGGTTAAGAAGATCACATGAAATGAAATAATAATTTGAGTGTTTGATTATAGTTTTCTCTGCTCTTCGGGCTATACCGTATACTTTCCATTTATCGGTGGAGAGTAGCTTCATCGTAAGCTCCTTTCCCACAAGCCCGGTCGATCCAAATATGACTGCTACACATTTATGACTAACTTCTTCTTCTTCTTCTTTGGCAGGTGCCATATATAGTACGCCTTCAATTTATCGAGTAATTAGTTTGTTCAATGCATTTGCAGATGGCATTGAACAAATATATAGTGTCTAAATTGCCTCTTAACGAGGGTTCAATACCTAATCAAATCCTCAATTAACCTTTCTAGAATACTGATTTCAAACTTTCTCCTCACGTCTTCAATAATTTCGTCAGTCAAATACGCTACACACAACGAGTCAGTAGGTAGGGTGTTTTTTAATCTTGTGTTGTGATTGTCTATATATAAGGGAAAATTTCATCCATGATTCACATAACTTTCGACAAAATTTCAAACGAGTTACTAACCTTTAATATGCCTCAGATAGATCACTAACACTTTAGTTTAGTTTCAATTAAGAGCCTAGTTGCATCACCTCTCTCACATAATGGTCCTATCCCCATGAAAACTTAACCTTACGCTACGTAATAAAAGTGTTAAAAACAACTTTTAATATAAAGATATAGTTATAACTCTTATTCTACAAATTTTGTTTTTTACGTGATTTCGTAATGAATAAGTAAAAGATCACTTACGGCATGATAACTAAACAATTTTCGTCATTTTGATGTACAATAAGTGATGAAATGTGATAGAATTGTGAAATTTGAAATGAAATTAAAATTGAGATACCGTAAATGAAATTAAACCTATATAAATATTAAATTGATTGCATAGTTGAATGGTCCCTAGGTCGACAGCTAGCATAACCAGCCGCTACCTTGTTGGCATTTCAGTTGGAAGGAATTTTGTAAGTTTTTGACTGCAATTATACGTTTATTATTTTATTCAATGTTTTCCTTCTTTTATTGCGACATTTGTTCGAGTTGAATATACACAAATATTTAATTACTTGGCTGCCACGTGATGATAAGGCATGGCCACATGGATACAGCACACGATTGCGACAGCCTGACGATCTTTGCAATTAAGCAACAAATACATTTTGCTATAAAGAGGAACCACAATGGTCGGACGTGCAGGGTTAAGGAAGGGGAGATAATACTATATTGTTTTTAAAGTCAGACTCAATATGGTAATCCCAAGTACTTAGCATCAATTTAAGCCATTGTGGGTCTATTTTTAATTATTCGTTCATCCTGATTTCGTTGAACAATTATATAATCTAAATTTGTGGTAAGCACTCTTATCGCTGTATAGCATTATTTGCTGTAAAATAGTAGATGAGATTTATTATTGTGAGATAATAATAATAATAATAATAATAATAATAATAATAATAATAATAATAA